TGAAAAAGAGAGACGTTCTTGATAAAGACAGAATAATAGTTTGCATAGAGCTATGGAAAGTGTTTGTTTCTTTGGGTGCTTAAGTACATATAAACTGTAGTTCAAGTTTGGCTCTTCTTAGACAAATAGGCCTTTATCTCTTTGTTCCCAAAAGTTTATGCTGTAAATAGAAGAGGAATTAAATTAGACTTCAACAGACAGCTTGTCTGAAGAATTTTCAGATAAGCAGTCAATAACTATTAGTTCTCCGTAGACTAGCCACGTAATCCTAATACTTTAACCTTCATAATCTCCATGTTGGCTTGGATTCATTATAATAACTTTATGTCCTGCTTCATCCTCTGTACTTCTGTGGCCATGTGTTGCTTTGTGGTAAATCATGCTATTTAATAGTACCTAATCATTTGAATCATTTGAAGAGTTTACAACCTGTCAGGGGTTAAGTAGGGAATTGACTGATGGGATAGTCAATCCATGGTACCTTGCAGACTAGGCATCCCCAAGATGGTGCCGTAGTTGTGAAATTGAAGAGATCTGGAAAACATCACACTGAGAAAATTATTCAGACTGTTGCAATCTCTGATTAGTTAAGCCAGAGGCAGTCAAATTTGGGGGCTGGTATTCATATTCGAAAGCATATTGTGGGTCTCTCACAAGTTAGCTATTACATGGGAAATGTTATCTGAAATGTTGCTAAAGTGGATGTGAATAACTAACAATGCTGAAGTAAGATATCCAAGGGCACATTGGTGCCCTTTTGCACTACGCTGCCTATCTGTGTTGATTCAGACAGAAACGCCTGTCTTTACTTTCACACAGTGTGTCGGTCTGTCATATTTCTACCTCTAAGAGTACACATAGGAACAGCAATATTGATCTTAATTATCCAGTCACAAGCTCTGGTCAGATATCTCAAAATCCAATTTTATGCATTACATAATGAATTTCCTATATGGCAAAACCAAGTAGCTTCAGGTCATCTAAATCTACATTGTTAAGCATTCCAAAATATCCATGTGGAATTCTTCCTCTTCCTTTGATCACATCTCTTATTGATCTTTAAATTCATATAATTATTCATATAGGATAGCTCCCTTGAAACCCAAGGTAGTTTTTTCCTTCTCTATTAGCCAACTTGCTTTGGATATTTGGGGATTTCCTGGAATAATTCTAGATGATAAAATTTCAAAGCCTTTTTCAGGAAACTTCTCCTTAGCTTCAAATAATTGCTGGGAGCAACCAAGGCAATTACGAGAGTGGTTAACAGCCTTGTTTTATTCCAGGATATTAAAAAAAATGCAAGAGATCCTTTAAAATGCTAAAGAGAAAGCTGTTTCTCTCTACCCCCTATTACTTTCCAATGGCTTTTCCAATGTGTGGTTAAGATGTGAGACTATGATTAAGGAGCCCAAGATTCTAATACACCTTCAGCCATAAAAGCCTACAAGGAGATTTTGGATTCCCTCTTGAGTACAACTATCCAAAGGGTTGTTTGATGGAGGGAAAATACAAGGAAAATCCATGTGTGGAATATGAATCTCTAAGTGTTCTGAAAAAATACAAGAAAAAAATGCAATAAATCTAGTAAGACAAAGAATGATTAGAGAGTATACATTCCCAGAAATCATTGTTTTTGCAGGATTGCTGGCAACATTCCCAATGGGGAAGCTGAAGTCTAGGATAATTTCTTTCACATTTGTGTCTAGAATCATAAATGGATGCATGTAAGCCAAGGGGTTTTAGATGCCTTGCCTTCAAATAACTTTTTACATATTGACTTGCCATCTACTGAGATAATCATTGAGTATCTGCTGCAAAATCTCAATGTACTGTATCACAAAGGAACCAGGAAATATATATATAGTCTAATTTTATCCATATTAAGGCAAATTATTTAATCCTAATATTTCGGTTACTTTGTTCATTTGTTTGGGGGTGAAGGATCTTCCTGGGATTGAAAATGACCCAAAAATGATCCATTCTGAGAAATGGAGTACATGGATTGCAAAATCTGCAGTTTTGTATATGTTATTGCTCATTTTCAGAAGTAAATCCTGGAATTCTGCAGGGATTATTCCTAGGTAAAGAGGCATCAGATTTCATTCTTGATCAATGTACAAGGACTCAAGGGGGAGTTATTTATTTCAACATTTTAAACAAGCCACAGATAATGTCAGGCCTTACATTCCTAAGGTGGATAAAAACTTGCTTTATTTAATTCTGGTTGGAAGATTGCCAGATATTGAGACAAAAAATCTCATGAAAAGGGTACCAAAACAAAAAGTTCAAGGAACATACCAAGGCCATTTTTCATTATTTATTGTAAGATATATATATTTTATTTGGCTGTGCGGTTCTGGCTGAGAAGCAATAGTTGTATCTGCCTACAATAACCATTTTTTATTAAAAATAGAGGTGGCCATATGCAGTGCAGTCCTATGCATTAATTTCCACTGAGAAAAGTTGTATGTATAGCCTGAAATCCTAAGAAAGGGTTTATACAATCCCCCCATGTAAAATACAGTTGGATAGTTTGTAAATCAGTGGGTTGTGATAATTCAGCAATCAGAATCAGGATGAATGGATCAGATTAAAAATATACACTAATGCCATTTCATCATAAACAAGAGATTAGAAGATTAAAATGAGAAATTGAAGATCCTGGATCCTGTGGCTTTTCCATAATTTGACAATGAGCAATAGTTCTTTGGCTCCTTGCATACCTCAGAGCATTGTAAAAACAAATATAATAATAATGAAGATAAATGTTTACTTCCCTGTTGTGGAAAATATTGCCCAAGTGTACTTACATCAATAAAAAATGAAAGATTGGGGTTTATTGGGGTTCAGAAGTTTGATTTGCTTTTCTTTGCACAGTGCACAATCTTATTAAAGTTCTTTGCTATACAAATAATTAAGATTTATTAAATTCCTATTGCCTGACTCGCTTTCTCTGGGATGCTACAGGATGTCATCTCACAGTGTAACTTGAAAGGAAGGATAGGCAGTTTAATCTTATTTAGATGTTGTGTTATTACTGAAATTAGTCCAGCTGCCCAGGAATAATATTAGTACAGCCCTTTTTATCTGACAAGCATTGTGTTCAGCCGTCCATGTAAAAAAACCCAGGAGTTATATGCAGAATGGCAAGAAATATAGTAAGATATTGTCATACATTGAAAACAGTTCCTAGCACCTGCTGCATTCAAAACAGAGACTTTGTCACTTAGCTGTGGGGTTTTTTCTTCTTTTTCTTGAAAATAAGAAAATCAGCAATGATAGGAAATCTGTGATCCCTCAAATATGTCTGAATAAAATTCTCTGCACCCTGTATCATTGGCTATATTGGCTGGGATCGCAGGAATTGTAGGATTGCAAGAACCAGACTTGAAATTTTGGGCTTTAGACAATTTAGAATTTAGCCATCTTCAGTCTGATCTAAGTGTAGTACATAAAATCATCTGCTACAATGTCCTACCAGCCAATGAATACTTCAGCTTCCATGAAAACAATACAAGAGCACACAATAGATGCAAGCTCATGGTAAATCGATCCAAACTCGACTGCAGAAAATACTACTTTAGTAACAGAGTGGTCAATGCCTGGAATGCACTACCTGACTCTGTGGTTTCTTCCCCAAACCCCCAAAACTTTAACCTTAGACTGTCTACTGTAGAGCTCACCCCATTCCTAAGAGGTCTTTAAGGGGCGTGCTTAAGCGCACCAGCATGCCTACCATTCCTTATCCTAATGTTTCCTTTTATTCGTATCCATTTCATATATTCATAATTATGTTTACACTTGTATCTGTTTCAAATACATGCTTGACAAAATACAAATAAATAAATAAATTGTAGTTTAGCCAAAGTAACAGAAGATTAACAGAGGGTACCTGTAAAACCACAACTGTAGCATTAGCGTTGTTTTGCTATCTTTTGAATTAATTTTGTAGGGGAATTGGTAGCTATTATACAGTATATCTTATTGTATTATATCTCACTGCATACTTAGTAACCCTCTGAGAGCAACAAGCTGAGAGGGTCCTTTTCTTTGAATTTCACTGAGCTTCATGCCAGTTTTGAAATATGTTCTTTAACCACAAGAATTGTGTTCTGATGTATCTAGACACAAGAATTAAGGAAGGTTAGTGAAGACCAGTCTTCCCCAGCCATTGACCTCTGGAAGTGTTTAATCTAGATTTTTTAGAATACACAGCTGCATTAGCCAGAAGATGGTGGCTGAAAATTCGCGGAGTCGGCATTCCCAGAGCATCTGAAGAATGTTGAGTGGAAGACACTGATGTAGACAACTCTAATCTAGTCAGATTAAGGGAATAACTTGGTATAAAGCAGCTTGTTGTAAACCTGAAAGTCCTTGTTATACAGGTATTCCTCAACTTACAACTGTAATGGAGCATGCAAATTGTGGCAGTTGTTAAGCAAGGCAAACATCTGATTGCCTCACCTAATGACCCCAGTTCTAATTTATGGAGTTTGTGAACTCCAGATTGATTGTACAGTATGGAGACAATGTGATGCTGTTCCAGAAGCAGGTGCCATTTTGGAGCAGCCAGAATTCATTGCAGCCAGTCCCAAAATGGTGCCATTTCTGGGACAGCGCCACATGGCCTCAATGTAAGAAGACCACACAGCAAATTGCCTGCTTTCCAAAGGAGATCTATGGAAAAGGTAAGTGACTGAGCCATAATGAGGGTGTTGGGGGGGGGGGCGACAGTGTGGGATCCAGTGGGTTGGGAAGCAGGCTCAAGGCCTGGGAGGCCCAGTGGAATGGGATGGGGGGATGTTAGGTGGGGGAACCACTGCAGTATCCTTGTGGTTGGTCATTAGAGCATGCATATTGCCAAAGACTCAAACTTTGTTCACATTGCTGCAGGGGTGCTAGAGCAGCTGTAACTTTGGGCAGGGACTGTAAATTCCTTTGTTCAGTGCCATCACAATTTTTAACAGTCATTGAATGAACAGTCATAAGTTAAGGACTACCTGTATTGCATCTATCCTTCCTCTGGTCATTCCCCCTTTTGCATTTAAACTTGCTGTCTTCACAGGCCTTCAAAAGAAGGTTTTGGCTTCAGATAGTGCAGTTCTCTGCTCACATTGCTAAACTAAGAAAGTAACATTTTGACTGACTCTCTATTTGTAATAAGCATGTGTGCTTCCTACTCCTAGATCCTGCAGAGGCATCACAATGCTGAAGTTGTGACAGCCTGGGCATTTCCATGGTAACTGGCCGAGTTATTAACACAAGATAACAGGCTCTGCTGATGATCTGGCAAAAACCAAGGGAGAAGGTGGGAGGCCGAGTATTGCAGGAATGCTAAATTTGCAAATACTTTTTTTTTCCTGTGGGTCTAACTTCAGGGTAGCAGAGATGGGTTAGAAAATTACATCCTGAGGGCAAGATGCAAGTAGAAAAGACCATTTCTATTTATATCCCACCTTTCTGTGCAAATAGGTAGATGTATGGAAAAAATAGATCTCATAACGGACATGTTTTGGAATAAGACTGAAAATCAATCAGGGCTCACAAACTGTATTAAAAATCAGTCACAGATTAGACTCATACTCAGTGGTGGAATACTGCCAGTTTAACAACCGGTTCAGTGAGCGTGCGTGCCTAAGGCGCTTGCGCACAGCGCTGAAAATGGAGCATTTAGAAGCTCCGCTGCTTACTTTCCAAGTCAGCAACGGTAAGTAGAACAGCAAGGAGGGGAAATCAGCTGTGCCACACAATTGAGATGCGCTACAAAGCAGGAAATAAAGGACAGGATAGAGCGGGGACAGGTAGGCGGAGTCAACTGATCGTCGGAGCTACCGGTTGGCCCGAACCAGTCCAAACCGGCTGAATACCACCTCTGCTCATACTACATTTAATTCTGGGCAGGTTGATCATGAAAAAAGATTGTAGGCATAGACAATCTGTTTTTTGTAGATTTTTCCACCCAGTTTGGAAAAAAAGAGAGGGATATAAATTGAATTAATATTTCCATTATTTATGTCTGATCTATAGGTAGCTTTTGCTACTTAACCAGGAATCAAGTGTTGGATTGCTAAAGAAAGTATTTTTAGTAGTGCTGTCTTCTGTTCCAGTCCCCAATTTGCTGGATTTCATCTTCCATAACTTCCCTCTGTCTGCTGATCAAATTTGTCTGGCAAAACTATAAATGTGAATGTAGCGATACAAACTCAGATCGTTAATTCATATGCTTTGTTTTCTGATTTTGCCTCTTGCCTCCACCTCCTCCGCCTCCTCCTCATTTACATTTAGTATAGCCACTTCCACTCCAAAAAACTTATAGGTCAAGGTTGTTTGATAAAATTCTACCATTGACAGCTTAACCCTTTGATGTTTTCTTCTTAGGTCCCAAGAGCAAATCAGTTAAGAAATTAACTGCCTAATTTATTCACTTTTAAGGCTAGGAAAATTCATGTCCAGTTGTCAAGGACATAAAGGTCATTGCGTTTTTAAAACCTCGGTGAGATTCAGGATTGGTATTGTAAAGAAAATACAAAAAATTATTACCAGCACATCAAGAATTCAGTGTTCAAGAGATAGGTCATTCTATGAGCATCTGCCCTTTATGCCTCAAGATTAAGACAACTTTGAGTCAGATGCTTTGCATGTTTATTGAAGTTTCCCAGGCTCTGTTTGAAGTTAAGACTCACTCGCTCTGAAATTTCATCCAGAATGAAGGAAACACAGGAAGGGCAATGGACCCAAAATAGCATAACCTTTAAAGCATGGGAATATTTCATTTCTGTGCTGAGAACTTTACCTGAAAGAAGGCATTATTACCCTTTTGAACTTGGAATTCCTGTCCCCTTGTTGCAATCTTTTCCCTGCACTGTCCAAACAAAACTGCTTACTTGAAATGAATGGTTATTTTCATTCATCCTAGTTCTTCATCCTAATCCCTATCAGATGTTTTGGACCACAGCTTCCAGAATCCCAAAAGCCATGTAAATGTGCTCTCAACACGTAAGGAGGGCCCTAGGTCATGAGAAGCTGCTACAGTATATACTTTGGAAATATTCCTTGTCTTAGAGTGTAGCCATCCTGTAGAAGCAGTGAATCTGGAAAATGCTATTTATAGTAAGGCCCTAGAGATTGGTAAGCCAACTCCTGAAACTTGTCTATCCATTTATAGAATTAGTGCAGTGTGCTTTGAGTTGTACAAGTAGAAAGGACTGATTTATTCCAAAACAGTCCAATAAGGTTTTCAAGCAAAATGAGAAATTATAATTCATAGAAACTTTCTCAGGTGGGTTTGCAAAAGGGGTGCATGCACTACCCAAAAGATTCATATAATCTCATTCAAGATGTGATTGTGCAAATATAGCCACTGTTTCCCCTGCTCTCCCCTTGCTACTATTCTGTGCAAGCTGCATAATTCCCCTCCAGGAAAGAGATTGGTAAAGCAACCAAGTGAGACGCAGAGCAGATTAAATTCACTCTTATCTCCCCAGAGATTGGCTACTCAGAGACAGTTTGGTCAAGTGATTAAGGCACCAGGCTAGAAAGAGAGAGACCATGAGTTCAAGACCCACCTTAGCCAGGAAATCCAGCTGGATGACTTCACAGGATTGTTGTGTGGAAAATAAGAGGAAGGTGTGTTGGATATCCTCACTGCCTTGAATTAATAATAAAGGCGGGACACAAATAAATAAAATGAAAAATAAATAAAACAGCAACTGTCGCATCCAAGGCCACCTTTTGTGATACCATTGCATTCAATGTGTAGAAGGTGTTACTACATGACACTGTGATGATTTATATCTCTGCTATTGTTAAGAAAAATCAGGTGCCAGCTATATTTTGTGATACAGGCCATGATTTGATTTCGGTCCACATTTCTTTTCACATATCTTTATTATAATGAGCCATTGCTAAGCAGCAGAAATAACCAAGGCTACTGAACTGAGTTCAAATTTCACCATCTGTTCCATTTCCTTTTTCATTCCCTTTGCTAAGATTCCCTTTTCCATTCCCTTAGCCATTGCTAAGCAGCAGAAATAACCAAGGCTACTGAATTGGGTTCAAATTTCACCATCTGTTCCATTTCCTTTTTCATTCCCTGGCAGCTTGAAAAATATAAAATTGTACAAGAATAATAATAATTTAAAAAGATTTTAGTGGGGGAATTTTCTGCTGCCCTCCAATGATTAAGGTGAGCAAGACAATCAAGTGCTAAATGCTGAACAAGCCAACATGGTAGATGCCTCAAATGCAGGAAATGCACACAAGTAAGAAACTTTTCTGCCAGGAGGAAAGAGTGTGAAACTTGCACTTCCATATAATTAAGTCCCTGCTTGGCATGAAAACCTTTTGGAAAAACTAGCCAACACTTGGCAATCACAAAACAAATATTTAAAAAAAAAACAACACAGTGTTTTCCCTTAAGGCAGAAAAATTGTCTGGAAAATTCTGTATTTCATAATACAGAACGTTTTCTTAGCGACTGAAGGGTTGGCAAGCTAATACTGAGTTGATCCAGGTTTTTGACTGCTGAAAAGAGGTTTTAGGCACCCCAAAAATGTTTGCCTTTTATGTTCATTACTTGTTTTCTAAAGGCTGTGGAGTAGGCCACTACAGAAGTTTTGCTTACAGTATTTACACAGAAGATATTATTCAATATAATTTTTAAAAAATGGCTTGCATTATTCAGCAATTGTTGAAAGTTGGTTAAAAATCAAATGCCCTATAAACTTACAAGGCATCTGATGTGCAGGGTTTCAGCATCTGCTGAAGAGATAGCAGTTAATCAAATAGGGTCAGAGAAGAAACAGTGTTTGTTTATTTTGTTCTTTACAGTATTTATAAGATCACCCCAATCAATTAAGACTCTGGGTAGCAAAGAAATCAAAATAGAAATAGTAATAGCCAAATAGAAACAGTACTATGTGTCCAAAAGAAATGCTCATAATAATTTGAACTGAACACCCAATGCTTTTAACAGTCTTGTGAAATGTGAGGAGGGAGGGTTGAACATACCTCTTGAGAAAGCATGTTCTAGGGAGTGCACACTATGCTGGAGAAGGTTGGCCACCTACCCCAACCCCCATGCACTTCTCGTAGGTAAAGAATTATTTGCAGACCTTCACTTGATGTTCACCAGAGTGACAGATTCGATTCTGGTAAGGCTGTGCCTGATATAACCCAGAACTACACCATAGTGAGTTTTAAAGGTGATAACTAGCACTTTGAATTGGACTCAGATGTTTACTTGGAGTCTATGCAGCAATCTCAAAATTTGTGCTATTTTGCAGAAATGGGTTTAGCCCTTCAAGCATTCTGGTTAGTCCATTCTTCACAGCTGCAGATGCCGAGTCATGTTCAAGAGCACCCTAACTTACATTACTTATAGTAGCCCAGTTGAAGGCAGAAGTCACTATCTATCCCTAAGGTATGGGTATCATGGACTAGAGGAAATCATAATTGGTGCATCAGCTGGGCAAGGATTTTCCTGGCATAGGATTGACCTACTGCTTGTATGGGAACCTAAGTCCAAAAGGACCACCAAGTACATGAACTAACTTCTTAAGCACTACTCATCCAAAATAACTTCTAGGAATGGTGTTACAACATGCTCTAATGCTGGCCAAACAACTTTATCCTGGAAGGTTGTAATTTGAGCATGTTTCATGTCATCCAGTTCTTGACATCTTCAGTTTCAACAGCATTTTTTTTTATTTTTTTATTTTATTTTATTTTATTTTTTCAATTTATATACCGCCCTTCTCCCTGAGGACTCAGGGCGGTGCACAGCCAGAATTAAAAACATGAAATACAAATATTAAAAACAATTAAAATCTATATAAATTTGGCCCAAAATTTAAAAAACCACAAACCAATTAAACATTTAAAAATTTTAAAAAATTTCTTCCTAAGCCAGCCCGGCTTGCTGGAAAAAGTGGGTTTTAAGGGCACGGCGGAAGGCACTGAGGTCTTGGATTCTCCTTATCTCTGGGGGCAGCTGATTCCAGAGGGTAGGTGCCCCCACAGGGAAGGCTCTCCCCCTGGGGGTCACCAGCCTACATTGTTTGGCTGATGGCACCCTGAGGAGGCCCTCTCTGTGGGAGCGCACGGAT